GGGGGCTCTGGGTCCCCACTAAGTGAAGGAGTGGTGACGTGCCCTCGTCCCTGGGCGCCAGGGGCCTGGGAGAGGCGAGGGAGGGGTGAGGCGCTGGGCCTCCGGAGCGCACGGCCTCAGCTCCCCCCCAGGCCGGGAGACGCGGGGGGAGTGCAGGCGGCGCCCACGGAGCGCGAGTCGAGGGAGGGTCCCTGTTGAGAAAGAGAGAGGGCCCCTGGGGGGCGCGCGGGCTGGAACCGAGGTGCCTGTGGGCGCCCGTGGGTGCCTGGGGGTGCCCGTGGGTGCCTGTGGGTTCCTGGGGGCGCCTGTGGGTGCCCGTGGGTGCCCGTGGGCGTCTGTGGGCGTCTGTGGGTGCCTGTGGGTGCCCGTGGGTGCCCGTGGGAGCCCGTGGGTGCCCGTGGGCGTCTGTGGGTGCCTGTGGGTGCCTGGGGGCGCAGTGTGCAGGCGCGGCCCTCACCGCCCCGAGCGCCCAGGTCCGNGCGGCCCCCGGGGCGGTGACGTCCCGAGCGCCCAGGTCCGGAGGACACCGAGTGTCCGAAACCCCCGGCGCCTGCGCGCCCGTGGGCGTGTAGCTGAGGGCTCCGGAGCCATTCGCTTCCCTCGTGGGCCCGAGCCAGACCCCCGCTCCTTTCCTTTGGACCGGAACGCAGTAACCAACGGTAGAAAATCCAGAGAAACAGCAGAAACTATGAAGAAAAACGCTAGAGTCAAATCTGCGGTAAGAGCTAACAAGGCCGAGAGCGACATAAAGCGAATTTCATCTCCTAAGATTTTGCACCAGAACTTCACCACCTTTTATTGAAAGTGTGGGGGACTCATAGCTCTGATTCCCCCCAGTATTTAGGAAAAATGTTCAGAAATGTCCTCCACGTTGTCGTCTGATTCCAACCTAAATTGTAACCTTAGGCTAATTGCTAGTGTCACCTTCCTGAAGCCTCTTAGTCTTATCGGCTTTTTCATATCAGCCCTGGAATTATTTAAATGTGTTTCAAGCATTTATTGATTCCACATACACCACTAGGTTCAAAGAACTTAAATAGGTGGTAGGTAATAATATCAAAATTTGCCACCCTCCCCCAAAAAAGACCCCCAGAAAACTAGATGTAGGAAAAATAGGAGAATCCAGTCTGAAATTCAGTTCGACACCAG